TTATGTAATTGATATCAGAATTGCTATAAGCAATATCTAAGAGCATCCAGATAAAGTAGACCCTTGTAAATTTGTATTTTTCTTGAACTCAACCATCCCTAAATATGCTTGAATATGGCAGTCTGTTTAAAGCCAGCTTCATCAGCAATCACATTTTGTGGCTTTCTCTCCTAAAGAGGGTTTTTTAATGACTATCTGGTGGAAGACCTTCAAGTCAGACACTATTCACATGATTTTAGGCCACAGCATCTCATGTCTGTCTTAGAAATCCTTTAAAAAAAAAACTATTGCTCTTATTTAATGTTCAAATTTTGTGGCAAGCTGAATCTAATTATCAGTGTCATAGTCGTCAAAATAAATACATTAAATTGAATAAATGTATGCATTTTTTAAGTAAATTACTGAATAAATTAACTCTTAAATGCTTTTATAGATCTACCTTTATTTTAGTATTTTTTTTTTTATCATTAGGTAGACAGAACAATAATTGGGGTTTTAATGTAAAAAAAAAATTACTCATGTTTGTCTTAGAAGGATATGATCTGGTAGCTTTTTGCCAGTTTGCTCACAATAAAAAATCAAAGCTAGTCTTTTATCTTCCCATAATGTCATAGACATAGTTGGCCTACATTGTGGCTCTGCTGCCAGTCAATTCAGCAATCAAAATGAGGCTGTAACATCAACGAGGTCATATCCCCCTTCCCCCCCAACAGAAATCACCCAGCTCTAGTTTACATAATGTAGCCAGAACAATCTAACCCTGAATTACTTAAATCAATGAATTACTTCAAATTATGACAAGCTCCTGAAATATTAAGAAATACTGAGTCTTTATCAGGCTGTTCTACCTCTATGCAGGCTGGGGCAGCAATCACCATCCCTGCTTCAGTCTGGCCTGCAGACATAAGAGGCGTGGGGAGGGGGGGGGGTGGCTGGCTGCAAAAACTGGGACAGAGTCAGCACTCGTTGGCTGAGGCATAAACGCTGCCGTGAAAGCATCAAGTCTGTCCTGATGTGCAAGTTCTGCCCGTCGTGATTTTCCTCTGGCACAATGACCTCCCATCACATGCTGCGTGTAGCGCACATTCCTCAGTCACAGCGCACAAAGCCTGCAGCAGTGAGGGCGCACACGCACACACACATAACACCATGCAGAAGCAAAATACCACATGGTTCTAACAGTTTTTTTTTGTTTTGTTTTTTTTTTTTTGTTGTTACTGGTTTTGTTTTTAAAGAGCAGGAGTGTGTATGCACAAAGAGCGGCTGTAGAACCGCTGTGAGCGCTCACATTGTATCATGTCACGCATTAAATGCGGGCCCCAGAACAGCAATACGCATCGTTCCGGTCTAGTTATGATGCGCAAGGAGGAAAAATGTGAGCGGATGGCGCAGAGATAGGAGTAAATAAGGAGAGAAAAGAAAGGGACCGACGCTCTATCGTGGCTGAAGCTACATCGCCTACGCCCATTCACAACGTTTTACAACCCCGATCCTGACATCCCTCCCTCCCACCTTCCTTCCTAAACACACACATTGAATGATCCGGTAGGATTTAGTCCGTGCGTTTCCAATCGGATAATTTCACTGCGCAGACTGTGGGTTTCCAGCCCTGCTGCACCAGCCATGTGTTGGCAAATATGCTGATTTAAACACACATTTGACATAAATATATCATATTTAGCTTGTAATTAGAATGAGATGCGAGAAACTGACACATACATTCTTAATAATGATTTTATGATAATCAATGTTTTAACCAAACACTAACTTAGACAGGTGGGCGCAATGTGGGCTGAACAAAGAAAGGGGAAAAAATGGTCAGTGTTTCGTTGCCACGTTTTTCTTTTTTAATCTTAATCGGATTTAAATCTCTCTTCACGCTGTGAAACATCGGGTGGTGTGGAAGTGACCGTCAGCTAAATAATCCATTTGATCCAGGTTGAAAGGAACCGGCAGGATTGGGAGCGATCGGTGCCGCCGGTGCGTCACGTCCAGCCGAGCGCACCTCTCGGTCAGACAAAAACACCGGGAAATACCGAGAAGACTCACCTCGTGGTCTGAAGACGACACAGACGGACGGACCGGGGAGTCTGGAGGGGGGTTTAATCCCCCCTCCTCCCCAAAAAAGATCGGTGATCCGGAGAATCCCAAACAGGGAGGGGGGGGTTCGGTGATGGGATGGGAGAAATCAGCGGCGTCCGGCCGGAGCAGAGGATGATGGTGGTGCTGGCTGTATCCTGGATGCTGTCATCGCGCAGCGACTCTCTGGGCTTTAATCCGCGGCCCTGTGCTCAGAAATAACCCACCCCCTCCCTCTGATCAGCGTCTCTCCTCCCTGCCTCCATCCCTTTCTGTCCGGAGAACCCGCGCCCCTCCTTCACTGAAAATGTTTTTAGTTTATTTTTTTATTCCTTCACACTTTCATGCTTCAGAACTTGTAATAATGTAAACAGTCATTATATGATTAAATTATTATTCATCCAGCTTGGTTGGACTATGAAGTTATGCGGTAGCCTATTTCAAGAAAATAATTTTTTTTTTCTTCCTGAATTTGATCAGATGAAAAACGAAATTTAAAAGTTACCAGTTGAATATAATCAGTTCAAGGAGATTCAAAAA